AAGAGAAGGGGACAGAGGAGTGGTCATGGATGACGTCAGCGACACAGCCAGCTGCGTGCCTAGCAGCGTGAGCGACGGGTGGGGCGGCAGCCATGGGGGTGAGGCGGAGGAAGGCGACAGGGGAGGGGACACGGGGGAGGAGGAGGGCGGGACGGAATCTGATTGGGCCAGCGAGTCAACCATGTGCCTCAACCTTGAGAGTGAGTGGGATCACGTGTTTAGGGTGTGGGTGATTCAGGTGTATGAGCGCAGAGAGGGTTACACCACTCCACGCAACCGCTCCTTGCATCATGCAACGTCCTTCCTCTGCTTCCACTCATCCCTCCTCTCCCCCTTGCCTTCCACCTTGTGCCGCTCCCCACAGGTGTGGAGCAACTGTGTGCGCAGATGGAGTTTCAGAAGAAGACGATTGAGGCCATCCAGATCGTGGCGGTCCCTGCCCTTCCCCAAATAAGCCTGGAAAGACCCAGAAGGGCACTCAGCAGAGCAGCAGCAGCAGCCGCCGCTAGCAGCAGGTGCAGGAAGCAGCAGTGGAGACTCTGAGGCAGGCACAGCAGCAGGTGTGGCCGCTGAGGGCGTTGAGTGCTCCTCGCAGCTCTGCTGCCAGCCTGATGGCGCTGCGCTCCACTGGCTCCCTCACCTGGCACACTCCAGGCGACCCAGAACCTGTGGGAGCGAAGCACCGTCATGTAGGTGCCGTTGTTGGGTTAGAGTAGGGTTAGGGATGGATGGCTTGATGCAGCGTAGACGTGAACGGGGAAAGGAGGACAGCACTGATACTAACCTCCTGCTTAGCTGCTTGAGTAGGTACCTGTAAAGCATTGTTGCGACATGAGATAGACCCTTGCTGTGTTGATTGAAAGAACTGGTTAATCCATCCACAGTGCTCGAAGAAAACCATCATCAATCCTCATGAAGGCAGTGGAGCAGGAAGCTCCCCAACACATCTGCCAAACACAATCTGGTGACTTTGATTCGATGGGGTGGATTCAGCTGGTGGCCGAGAAAACACAAGGCTCGTTGGGTTGAGTTGAGACGCACGTAGCGAACGGAGAAGTAGGGCAAGGGACTGATTGAGCACTTTCAACTGGGCCAGATGCAGCGCAGGTTGACCGTGCCTATACCGGTGATAAGGTAGATGTTTCGTGAACAAGACACTTCCGCAGGAACAGTGCAAGGGGGGGGGGGGGGGGATGGTCCGTGCACCGATCCTCAAGCCACTCCAATGCTGGGTCCATAACAGGTGAAGTACAGAGGCAACCACGAACGAGGCACGCTTGGATGGTATGTGTCGGTTCGCCCTGCTTGGGGTGCTTAGAATGCGCTCCCTGGGTGCCCGCTGCTGGTGGACCATGCCTGATGCGCACACAAGGCGAAATAGCTAATCTAGGATGGGAGCAGAGTCACTGGTGATGGGGAGGAGTGATTGAAGGGGGACAGAGCAGGAAAATGAGGCTTGCATGCTATAAGCATAATTTTATTGCTCGCATGAATCCATATTGCTCGAACGAATTCATACTGCTCACATGAGTTGATAGGGGAAGGTCGCACGGGCAAGAACGTGACGGGTGACTCGACTAACGACAACACCACCGTGAAGGCCTTGTCGCACGCGGGGCCTCCAAACCTTTCTCTCCCCTCCTCCCCTACTCGCATCTCTCCCCCTTCTGCTCGCCTCTCTGTCCCCCTAAGCTCGCATCTCTGCCCCCTTGAGAAACGCCCCTCCGCTGCACCCCCACCAGCGCCACCGCAACTAGCGGCCGTTGCTTCCCCGCTTTCTCCCTTCCCCACTTCGTCACTTAACTCGTGTGCCCTCCCACGATTGTTCCGCGCCTGTTTGTGGGAAATGCGTGCGCCGGAGGTAGGGCGCGGGGAGGAGGTGGGGAAGAGGGAGAGCGGGGAGAGGGGGCAAGGGCAAGGGGGTGGCTATAGTGGGTAAGACCGAAGATGATCGGCGCGGGTGATGATGCGTGGCGGAATGCATAAGGATGCACAAGGGGAGAGGGGGAGAGAAGGGGAAGGGAAGGCGTCACAGGGGGGGAAACTGGAAGGGTGGCGGAAGCAAGGCAGAAGGAAGGGGGGAGGCAGGGGGGAGGAAGCTGATTCAAGGGGCAAGGCAGGCAAGTGCAGCGCTGAAGCACCCACATGCCCCATTGCCTCATCGGCGTTTCCCTGTCAACGTCCTCATGCCCCGAGCTGAGCCCACGCCCTGCCATACGCTTACGCATTCCCACCCATCCCCGCCCATCCTCACCCATCCCATCCATCCTCACCCATCCTCACCCATCCCCACCCATCCCCCAGACATCCTTACCCACGTGAGAGCGCCCACTCGCACGCCCCTGTGAGGATGGCGTGAGCATAAACCATCACTACCAGGTCCTGCAGCAAGGATATGCCGCCCCATGCCACCCCATGCCACCCCATGCCACCCCATGCCACCCCTGCCAGCGCTGCATCTGGTCTGGTGAGGAAGCTGCCAGGAAGCCGAGAGCCACCACACTGGGAGATGGTTGTATGGGGGATAAAATGGTTGGAGAGGGGAACGGGGGGGGGAGATAGTGGGGGAGAGGGATGGTCAGGACTCAGACAGCGATAGTTGGAAAGCGGAAGATGGAGGAATGAGCAGGAGGAGGTATGGCGTGTGCGTGTGTTTGTGTGAGAGAGTGGGTGAGCACATGAGTGGATGGCCATGAGACTTGAGAAAGTGCAGGAAGAAGAAGAGCATGACAGGAACGCAAGTCTCTGACCTGACACCTGGGCAGAGCTCCTTGTCCCTGTCACTGCCTCCCCATCCCCACCCCCCTTCCCCTCCCTGGCGCCCTCCCCCTCACCCTCGTCCCTCCACGTGCCCACAGCATCCAGCAGCGGCCCGATGCTCCCCATGCCCACCAGCCGGCCTGCTGCTGCCGGTCCCTGCCTCGCCACCTCCCTCACCCCTCCCTGCTGCGCTGACGCCCGCAGGGAGGCCGAGGAGTCGTGCAGGCAGAGCAGCAAACGGGATGCTCCGGGTTGGTCCAACACTTGCTGCAGGGTAATAGGGAGAGAGTGAAGTCAGCATGAGCATGTCGGTCAGACGGAGCAGCAGGCGAGATGCTCTGTGATGGTCCGACGTCGACGATTGCTATGTATAGGGGAGGCAGGGAAGAGGGGAGTGCGTGGGCGGACAGGAGGCCATGCCGTGAAGAGAGGAGATGTACTTTTGGGAGATTTACCAAGCATGTCCGCCTGAGGGCTTCCGAAGCGCGTTTTTTTAGGTGGTTCTAGATGGTTTGCGATGGTTTGGAGCAGTGCTTACCAGGGCGAGGGATTCAGAGTGCCCGGCGATGGTAGAGAGGCAGACGCAGACCTGTGCAGAGGGGTGGGAAAACAGGAGAAGCAGAAAGACAAGCAGGTGTGCGAAGAGGCACATGGGGTCGTCAAGATGGGTGCAGAAGGGTGAAAAGGAGGGCAGAGAGAAGGGGAGGGCAGCTGCAGCGCAGGTCGGAAGAAGCAAGCGTGGTGCAGAGGAGGGCAAAGGTGATCACACCAGGGTTGGGATTTGGTGTTGGGGAGGGGACGCATGAGCAGGAACATGGATGCAAGGAGGTGAAGTGAGAGCATTGAAAGAACAGGTGCCAGTTATGAGCACAGCACCTGACGCCTTGTCTTGACGTCAGGTGATCACAAAGTCATGTGCTCACCCCATTCTTAGGGCGCGTGTCCTTGAGGTCGAACTTTTGCCAAAGTTCGAACTTCTAGAAAGGTTGTGCACGGTAGGATACAGTTGAGAAACGGGTCGCCACGGTACAAAGCGGTACCAGGCTCGAACTTTGACAATCTACACCAAAAGACACGCGCCCTTACCCATCCCACCCATCATCACCCATCCTACCCATCCCCACCATTCCCACCCATCGCCACCCATCGCCACCCATCGCCACCCATCGCCACCCATTGCCACCCATCCTCACCCGTGGGAAGCTATTCGCGAGAGTGCCACACGCACGCCCCTTTGCAGGTGCCGTGAGCATCACCCATCCCTACCAGGTCTTGCAGCGCAGACATGCCGGCCGGCCGATACCTCGCTCACCACTGCCGCTGCTGCTGATGAGTCGTGCAGGCAGAGCCGCAGACGAGATGCTACGGGTTCGTGCAACACAACAACACTTGCTGCGAGAAAAGAGAGAAAGGGGGGTGGGGAGGGGGGTTGGGCAGGGAGTTGGGGAAAAGGGAAAGGGCGGAGGCGGAAAATAGAAAGGGTTGGCAAAACTTGAAGGACCCAGCCTCGTCACCCCCTTGCTGCTCCTGCTCATTCGCGTGAGTCGTGCAGGCAGAGCAGCAGGCGAGATGCACCGGGTTGGTCCAAAACTTGCTGAAGGGTGTTAGGGAGAGAAGGGAGAGGGATGGGTGAGCGGAAGGGGGGTGGGTTGGGAGCGGGGAATGAGCATGTAGGTGCTGACTTGGCACCACTATTTCCTGCCACTGCTCATGCCCGCAGGGAGGGCGATGAGAGGTGCAGATACAGGGGCTGCTGGGTTCAGCATTCGAGACTCGGGGGGGCAGGGAATAGGGGAGCGCGTGGGCGTGCAGGGAGTGGGCGGGTACCAGGGGTAACGGTTTAGAGCCGTCCAGAACTGTTTGGTTTGGTTTGGAGCGGTGCTTACCGAGGCGAGGGCTTCAGAAAGGCCTGGCGATGGTATAGAGGCAGACGAAGGGGTGCAGAGGGGTGCACTGGGGAAACAGGGGAAGCAGAAATGGGACACAGGGGGGTGTGAAGAGGTTGAAGAAGGCACATGGGGGGTTAAGGAGGGGTGCAAAAGGGTGTACCGAGGTGCTGGAGTGATGGAGAGTTCCCACCAAAAGAGCCCAACAGTGATGGTAGGTGGTGCAAGAGACGGAAGGGGGCTGCATGAACAGACTGTTGGTGATATCATGTCAGAAGCCTGACCAACCCCGACCCATGACCCCCATCCGTTCCCACCCATCCCCACCCATCCTCACCCATGAGAAGCCATTTGTGAAAGGGCCCACGCGCACGCCCCTTTGAGGTCCTGCAGTGAAGATATGCGCCCCATGCCACCACTGCCAGCGCTGCGTCACGTGAGGAAGCTGCCAGGAAGCCGAGGGTGAGCAGGAGGTATGGCGAGTGTGTGAACGCAAGCGTACTGCACAAAAACTTGAGCGGTGAAAAAAGCAAAGGACGAGGTGGGGGATGCATGGAAGCAGAGGCAGCTGCCCAAGCTCACCAACCTGTATTCTCACTCTACCACCCCCCCGCACTCACTCTTCCTTTCCACTTGCCCATCTCACTCCCTACCCATCCCCACTTCCCGCACCGAGCCATATTTCCTCGAGCCATGCCCTAATCGCCTTCCATCCTCACTCACACACACAACAAACAGACGCACACTGCACATGCACGCACTCAACCACACCCCACCCATGGCCACCACACACCCCCACAAAACCCCCCCGCACACACACGCACACACACGCACACACACGCACACACTGCACGCACCCCTCGCTCCCTGGAGCTGCGCGTGCGGCCCAGACGCCGCTCCTCGCCCTCACCGCTCCTTGACCCACGCCAGACTGCCATCGCACGTGCAGGGACGAGGGGATTGCAGGGGAGGGGAGGAGTGCGTGGGAGGGGAACAATGCACACACACAGGGGGGTGGGAGGGGAAGAATGCACACACACAGGGGGGTGGGAGGGGAAGAATGCACACACACAGGGGGGTGGGAGGGGAAGAATGCACACACACAGGGGGGTGGGAGGGGAAGAATGCACACACACAGGGGGGTGGGAGGGGAAGAATGTACACACACAGGGGGGTGGGAGGGGAAGAATGCACACACACAGGGGGGTGGGAGGGGAACAATGCACACACACAGGGGGGTGGGAGGGGAACAATGCACACACACAGGGGGGTGGGCGGGAAACAATGCACACACACAGGGGGGGTGGGAGGGGAAGAATGCACACACACAGGGGAAGTGGGAGGGGAACAATGCACACACACAGGAGGGTTAGTGGAGGTGGCTCAAAACAGGAGAAAGGAGGGCCAAGAGCGAAGGAGAGAAATGTTAGGAAGGGAGGGGGGTGGGAGGGGAGGGGAGAATCGAGGGCAGGGACGGACGGAGCAAGGGGGCGGAGTAAACGAGAGGAGGCGTGGTGCCACTGTTGGTTCACGCGTGGGCCAACACTACACACCGATCCTGCAGACACAGAAGGCACGGCAGGGTAACAGCACAGCAGCTTGGTACCTCCCCTCCCCCTCCCGCACACGCACACACACACTCACACGCACCTTGAGCCACCCCCCCACACATGCACACACACGGGCGCATGCACCTTCTGGCCTCCTGCTCGCCACCCGCCTTCGCCTTCTCGTTGCTGGGGCAGCGCTGGTACACGTACCGGCCCATGCTTCGCCGCTGGCAGCACCTGGCAGGCACAGAGGCGCTGGTACACGAACCGCCCCACTGCTCCCCGCCTCGCTACTGGGGTAGGGCACGCGGCACAACGGGCTCATCGGGAGGGGGACGTGAGGTGAGGGAAAGGGAAGGGTCGAGCTGCGGTTGGAGAATGCGTGAGTTGAACACATTGAGCTGGGCGGGTCAGCTCACGGCAGTTGGTGATTGCGACTTGGAGTGGCCTTTACAGCCGCCCCATACTTGAGCTCATTATCAGAGCTGCATTATTCTGGTTGGGGGATTGAGTGGCTGCAAGAAGCACCAAGCAGCACCTGACAGCACCTAGCAGCACCTAGCAGCACCTAGCAGCACCTAGCAGCACCTAGCAGCACCTAGCAGCACCTAGCAGCACCTAGCAGCACCTAGCAGCACATAGCAGCACCTGGCAGCACCTGGCAGCACCTGGCAGCACCTGGCAGCACCTGGCAGCACCTAGCAGCACCTAGCAGCACCTAGCAGCACCTAGCAGCACCTAGCAGCACCTAGCAGCACCTAGCAGCACCTAGCAGCACCTGGCAGCACCTGGCAGCACCTGGCAGCACCTGGCAGCACCTAGCAGCACCTAGCAGCACCTGGCAGCACCTGGCAGCACCTGGCAGCACCTCGCAGCACCTAGCAGCACCTAGCAGCACCTAGCAGCACCTAGCAGCACCTAGCAGCACCTAGCAGCACCTAGCAGCACCTAGCAGCACCTAGCAGCACCTAGCAGCACCTGGCAGCACCTGGCAGCACCTGGCAGCACCTGGCAGCACCTGGCAGCACCTGGCAGCACCTGGCAGCACCTAGCAGCACCTGGCAGCACCTAGCAGCACCTAGCAGCACCTAGCAGCACCTAGCAGCACCTAGCAGCACCTAGCAGCACCTAGCAGCACCTAGCAGCATCTGGCAGAGGTGGTAGCTTGCGCCACCTGGAACGGAGGCAGCACCTAGATGGCAGCTCGCGCCTGGCTGGCAGCGGAGGCAGCACCTAGATGGCAGCTCGCGCCTGGCTGGCAGCACCTCGCAGCACCTGGCAGCACCTGGCAGCACCAAGCAGCACCAACAGAGCTGGCAACACGTGGCAGCACCTGGCAGCACGTGGCAGCGCTAGCAGAAACTCGGTGGGGAGCAGCGGTGGGAGCGTGATGTGGGGGTCCTTGCTGTGTGGCGCTGCATGATGGCGTCAAGCTGCGTCAGCTCCTCGGGTGAGTGTGCCAGCTCGCACTCGCAGAAGCTGTGTTGTGCCACCCCAGCGTTGACAGCATCGCCTCTATCTGCCTCGCATGTAGGGATAACAAGCAAGCGGTGGGACTGATGTGAGTGCGTTGCATACAAAGCGCACTCCACTTTAGAGGATATTGAAGCTAGAGCTCAAAAGGGACAGGAAGCTAGCAAGTCGTGGATATTGAACCAGATAAGGCGTCGTAAGAAATGACTCAAGCACTTAACGGCAGGACTGACGTGAGCGCCTTGCAGAGCGACGTGAGCGCCTTGCAGAGCGACGGCAGCACGTTGCGCTGCACGAGGTGGTGCGACCACGCGTGCGACACATTCGCCAGGCGACCCAGCAACAGCGTCGCAGCGGATCGCACGGACGCCAGGCTGTCCTACGCGAGCGGCAGCAGCAGCTGCAGCGCGCCGAGCGACAGCAGCGGCTCCGCGTTCTGCGGGGGAAGAAACGCGGTAGGAACGCATTCGGAGTCAATAGAGCTGGCGAGCTGGCGAATCGCAAAGAAGGAACCTCACCCAGCAGCGCCATGAGTTCGCCATGAATTCGCCATGAATTCGCTATAAATTCGCGATGAATTCGCTATGAATTCGCCATGAATTCGCTATGAATTCGCCATGAATTCGCTATGAATTCGCCATGAATTCGCAAATCGAAGCTTGGATGCTGAGAGACACTGAGATTAGAGCGCGAAAAAGACTGAGACCAAGGCGAACCTGATGCGAAACCGCGAGTTCGCACGAACTGCACGCGCGCGTCGCGGTACGCCTCCATTACCGCCACCACGGCTCGAGCTGCTCTGAAGTGCGTGGGTGCTGGCAGCACCGCAGCTGCCGCCATGGCGAAATGCGACGGGTACGTACTTTTGAGAGTATGATTACGAGGTACCCCTACGCTGCCTGTGAATTTCGCGGGAGGACGAGAAGCATGAGTGCTGATGCGGGAGAAACATAACCACCGTCGAGCAATTCGGCAAGCACCTTTGAGTGGTGGTGAATCGTGATTCAGGATTCGCTCGTTGACTCGTGGACTAACTTCGGTTGGAGATTGTGGACACTATTTCCTTAGTCATACAGGGTTTAGGGACTAACTTCGGTTGTATTGTGCGATCGTTCGCTGTCAGTGAAATCACCAGTCATTGGTCACTATCTCCCTTAGGGCGTGTCATGCTTGGTGAACTTTCAGTTCATTTACAGCGGTTGACTACGAGTTTGTGCGTTGTAGGGCGGTAAGTTTCTCCCACCGCTTTGAACCGCCACATACCAGTCTGAACAGTGATTCATGTGCTGTAAACTTACAATGCATGACACGCCCTTACATTTTCCTGATTCACATGCCATGACTTGTTCTTCTGCTCTCAGCCATACTGTGCTGCAACACGGTATTCCGGTTTCCAGCACGGTAATGTGCAATTTTGAGCGGAAATCTAGTTCACCGTCTGAAACCGTTTTTCACCCTGCTGTGTGAACTATAGCAACAACTTTGTTCAGATCGGATGTCGCCCCGGGGGACTAGACTGGAGGAGAGATTCGCATCTGGTACCGTACAGCATAGCATGTTGCTCCTGGCAGCCTGACACTATTGGAGGCGATAAATTTGGGTCGCTCGCAAATTTGTCGTCAGCGGGAGTCTTGCTGCAATGTGCTGATGTGGCAATTTTCATCCACTCCTTGCTCCTGACAGCGTGTCACTGCGTGTCACTGCTGGATGAATATTGGCGCGCGGGAACTGAGCGACGATTTTTCATTTGGGTCGCACAGTGTCGTCAGCTTTAGTCCGAGGCAGCTTCGCACGATTTGCCAAGGTATGGTACACCCACTTATTCGTTTGATGCACCCGCGATTGTGCCACCAGCTCGGTACGTTCATGTAGAAGGTTGGGAGCGATGCGTTTATCTCACATAGAATCGATTCACACGTGATCAGTTCAGCATTGAATTGCTAAACGTCAAAGAAAATTGGTGGCAGAACACTACAGTTACACGCATTCGCGCTAAAGACGAAGCCAAATTTATTAGTCATGATTAGGTCAGGCCGGCCTACAGTTCCAAAAACGTATTTAGGGCGTGTCTGAAGTGAAACGTCGACGAATGTACAGTTTCGTCGAGGAATGTCGGTGAGTTTCAACCCTCGGATCGAGCGTTCCAACCGTCAGGATTCCTCGACATCCCTCAAAGTTTCGTCGAGGAATGTCGACGTTCACTTCAGACACGCTCTTATAGCCACATTTTGGGAGCAAGGGACGGCAATACGCAGGAAAATGTGACTCGCAGACGTTAAAAGCACTGGGCGAAAAGGACAAGCACCTCCGACCGAAACGCGCTCGGTGAGATTAACGAATAACTGGGTGTAAAGGTTTCATGAGGATGGTTCCTTGGCGAGGCTGGTTGACGTCAACAAACAAGTGGATGCTCACCTCCGCCTCCACTTTCCCGCATTTTCGTCCGCAGCGCACGCAAACCTGAGCATCATCCGTCAGGCAACGCGCGCTTCGGATGAGTGGTTTGTGTGCTTCGGTGCCCAAGGAGGTTCGGGAAAATCTAAACACAAACATTTTGGCTTTGGAGGGTCGCAATAGATGGACTGACGAAACCAAAATGCATGTACGAGCACAGTATTTAGCAGCTGAGAGACGCTGGTGCTGAATTAAGCGTCTTTAAATAATGAATGATACCCTACATCCCTCGCGATCTGCCTACCCTGAAAAGTTTTTTATAAACAAGTGGTGGTGGTGGACCACACCACAATGCTGCTGCAGCCTGCCACTTACTGCACTGTAGTGGTTTGGGGGACTCGTTGGAGGCACTCTTCTGCTCGACCCTCCCCTTGAGGCAGGGAGGCTCAGGGGTCTCCTCACAGAGCAGCAAGAGAAAATCAACCGCGAACTGGAGCGGCCCAAAATTACCCGCGAAGGAAAGCCGCTACGTCTGTGGTAGAGCAGAGGTTAGGGTTTCAACCCACGCTTCACGAACCGCGACCAGAAAGTTGGGTCGTTTGGACTCCGTCCCAATGCTTCGGCGTGGCATACGTTCACCTTCATCTAGTTGACTCAAACTATACATCACAGAAATTTGCATTTACATCTCTAACCCACAAATTTCATCAACATTCGATCTACTTCAACTAGTCGACTTTGGAGTTTCCACCTTCATTCGCCCCCAACGCCCAACCTCAACCCGCTTCCATCTACGCCCCCGCCCCCCGCCCAGCCTACCTCTCAAACTCCAGAGGTAAGCGTTGTCACGTCATTCTTTCTTGATGTTTACACCACCACTTTTGGACCACGATCTGACCTAGTTTGTTGTTTCTTGGCAGTCACAACGCCTGGTCCTTCAAATCGCTGCTACTCAAGACCAATGGCAAGGGCTCCGCAACCCAACGCAAGTTGGAGTGAGCAGTATCGTATACAACGCTCCACTCAAGCTTCAATCCGTCGACAAAAGCTGGTCGACCTTGGAGATCGGCCATCCGCCATCCGCCTCCATCACCAAACTTCAACCCGCCCCCATCCTCGCATCGCCCCCCGCCCTACCCACCTCACGATCTCCAAAGGTACGTAACTCCATCGCAACGCGAATGCTTTTGCAACACTTCCACTGCAATTCATATTTGAATGTCCAAGTTGACTTTTTTTTCCATGTTGAATCATAATCTGATTTTCTTTTGTTCCTTGTGCATGCAGGATTTAAGACCGTCATCGTTCTCAAACATCCGGCGCTCATCAAAGCCGTCGTCCAGCAAGCCAATGACCCTCGGGATCTTCACTGATCTTCACGGATTCTCGGGATCAACACCATCATTCGTTCGCGCACCACCAACCGTCAACCCGCCCCCCGCCCAGCCCACCTCTTGATCTCGAGAGGTAAGCATGTCGTGGTTGAGCTTGTACTTGTTTGGCCTTTTTGCACAGACTTTTTTTTTTGAAATTGAAAAACTGAGCTGGTTCTAACTCATCCGTGTTTCAAGCAGCCGCCACCCAGTGCTCAACCTGGGAGATGGGCTACCACCACCACCCCGCCAACTTCCACCTTCAACCCGCCGCGCCATCCACGCCCCGCCCTCCGCCCGGCCTACCTGCCTATCTCCTAAAGTAAGAATAGCACTTGCACTCTGATTTTCAGCACATGCACTCTGATTTACCTTTAATGCAATTCCTTGAGAAACCGTTTTCTGACTTTTTTTCGTTGTAACTTTTTCAGGTTCATTCTTGAGCCAGCATCAAGACCTGTTTTCAAGTCTGGCAAGAAGAGAAGTACAAGCTGACTTACGCTGCTGTACAACGTTGTCCCCGCTGCTGCAAATGCTTCAAAAGAATTGTTCTACCCTGAAGATCCGCCACCGCCACCATCCGCAATCAACGCCTACCAACCTTCAACTCGCCTCCACCAACCTTCAACCACCCCTCGCCCAGCCTACCGGGCGATCTTCAGAGGTACGGGTTTCCTTCGTTGCACTCTTGCCTTCTCGCACCTTCACTGCAATTTCCTTTGAACGTTAATGTTAAACGGATTTCTGACTTCTCTTTGTTGTACTTTCTGCAGGATTAAGTAACTTGAGCTCTTTCAAGATCATCATGTCCAACGCTTCAACGCTTCAAGCTTCAACAGGCTTCTGAAGTTCAGCCACCTTCATTCGGCCCCACCAACGCCATTCCGTCATTCCGTCCACGCACTCGCCCCCCGCCCAGCCTGCCCTTGAAACTCAAAAGGTACGCAAAACGTTCGTTGGCGAGCTTTACAATTTCGTTCTTCAGATCTGTTTTACTTTAATACGATTCTAATTCATTGTTGTTGTAACCCCTGCAGCTTCATCCTTCACTCTGCAACAACGAGCATCAAGGCGTTGAGCTCCGACTTCGGCTTTTGAAGCCTTGAACCCGTGATCTGCAATGGTGGCCGCCTTGTTTCGCCTTCAACCCGTGATCTGCAACGGTGGCGCGATTCTCCTCAAACTGGGAAGTCCCTTTCCCTTCTCTTCCCCTCGTTTCATCGCTTTTTTTTCACCGTTTTCATCGCACCGTTTCCATCGCACTTATCGCTCCACCGCCCCTCTGATACATGCGTCTGCGGCTTGTAGATGATCCTCCTCGGGCTTGGGTAGAATAGCTGTCGGGTTTGGGTAGCATAGCGCGTCTCCTCCCTCTGCAAGTCGCAGTCCACGTATCATGGGCGTCGTTTCCCGCCACGTTTTGTTCTCCTTTGTCGTTTGTTTCGTTTTTTGAATTCCGCACTTTCATGTTTGTTTTTCTTTAATTTCAATCTTCCATGGATTTTTACTAACTTCGTGCTTATGCCTTTGTTTCCTCCCCCCGTGTTCCAGCAACAAGGGAACGGGGGCTGCAGCAAAGCGTGAATGGAGCTTCTACCCGTGTTCAACGTTCAACCCGCGCTCTGTCTGCGTTCAACGTTCAACCCGCGTTCTGCCTGCGTTCAACTTTCAACCCGCGGTTTCGCCTTCAGCAACAACTGGGAAGTGTCTTTCCCTTTGTCGTTTTCATATTTCATCGCTTTCAGTTTCGTTGTTCAGTTCCTCCATCGTGTTCACTCGTTTTTCACATCGCGTTATTCCACCGTCCCTCTGATTCGTCTCGGCTGCATCTAGCAAATGATCCTCCTCGGGTTCTGGGTAGCATAGAGTGGGTGGGTAGCATAGATCCTCCCTTTGCTACTGCAGCCAGCGAATTATGGACGTTCACCGTTTTTCCGCCGTCTTGTTGTTTTGCATTTCGTTTACTTCTTGTTTGTATATTTTACTGACTTCGTGCTTATGTGTTTTCCAGGGTTTGAAGAAACACTTTCAAGACCTTCAACAGGCGGATCAACACTTCAAGAGGCGGATCAACAGCTCAAACACTGGTGAGGTACACTTTAACGTTTTTTAGAAGCCATTTTAAAATTCCGTTATTTTCCATTTATACTCTATTTTCAGTCTCTAACTATGTTCTTGTGATCTGTGCAGATCAAAGGTGGATCAACCCCTTGGCGCGCGGATCAGCACCTTGGCGGGCGGATCAGTTTCTAGGCGCGCGGATCAGCCCCTTGGCGGCGGATCTGTCTCTTGGCGCGCGGATCAACCCCTTGGCGCGCGGATCGGACTCTTGGCGCGCGGATCAGCCTCTTGGCGCGCGGATCAGCCTCTTGGCGCGCGGATCAACTCCTTGGCGCGCGGATCAACTCCATGGCGCGCGGATCAACTCCATGGCGCGCGGATCAACTCCATGGCGCGCGGATCAACGCCATGGCGCGCGGATCAACTCCATGGCGCGCGGATCAACTCCATGGCGCGCGGATCAACTCCATGGCGCGCGGATCAACTCCATGGCGCGCGGATCAACTCCATGGCGCGCGGATCAACTCCTTGGCGCGCATTGAGCAGCAGTCTCAACGGTCTTCAACGGCGGCAGCAGTCTCAACGGTCTTCACGGCAGCACCAGTCTCATCGGTCTTCAACGGCAGCACCAGTCTTAACGGTCTTCACGGCAGCAGCAGTCTCAACGGTCTTCAACGGCGGCACCAGTCTTAACGGTCTTCAACGGCAGCAGCAGACGACATCACATCAACGGCAGCAGCAGACGACACCACATCAACGGCAGCAGCAGAAGACATCACATCAACGGCAGCAGCAGACGACATCACATCAACGGCAGCAGCAGACGACATCACATCAACGGCAGCAGCAGACGACATCACATCAACGGCAGCAGCAGACGACATCACATCAACGGCAGCAGATGGAAACCCCTTCAACGGCTGCAGACGTCCCCTCAACGACAGCAGATGGAAACCCCTTCAACGGCTGCAGACGTCCCCTCAACGACAGCAGATGGAAACCCCTTCAACGGCTGCAGACGTCCCCTCAACGACAGCAGATGGAAACCCCTTCAACGGCTGCAGACGTCCCCTCAACGACAGCAGATGGAAACCCCTTCAACGGCTGCAGACGTCCCCTCAACGACAGCAGATGGAAACCCCTTCAACGACTGCAGCAGACCTCCCCTCCACGGTTGCAGATGAAAACCCTCTACGGCAGCGGATAAAAACCCCTCCACGGCAGCAGATTTCAACCCCTTCACGACGCAGCAGATGTAGCAGGACAACGGTAGCAGGACAACGTAGCAGGACAACGGTAGCAGGACAACGGTAGCAGGACAACGGTAGCAGGACAACGGTAGCAGGACAACGGTAGCGAGACAACGGTAGCGGGACAACGGTAGCAGGACAACATCGACGACGCAGCAGTTGTAGCAGAGGCAGCAGACGGTGGTTGCAAGGGAGCAGTCAAAACAGCAGCCGTACTGAAGCAGCCGCACTGAATTAGCCGCGATTTTGTAAGAGAGGAAACGAGGGGGGTGAAGCGGCCAAATCCCTTGACAGAGCAGTGGCGAGGGGTTGACTGGGATGGTGGGTGGCGTGGAGAGACGAAAGGCAACTGAGTGTGCATGCTCAGGCCAAGAGGCAGTGGCACACGTTGCCCGGGAAGCTTCAAGGGGATCGTGATGGAGTCTGGCCTTGACTTGCATGGTTCTGACTGCAGCAGAATCATGCTCGCAAGGTACCACACACTCCAGGTAGCGATTCCTTTGGGGTGACCCGGGTAACACGAGTTTTTCCTCACTGGCGTGGGTGAGGAGAACTTGGTGTCACGTGTCAGAGGTCCACTGGTGATCCCCGATTGATCCTAGGGAAGGGTTACAGGCTACTTGTCCTGGGGGGTTATGGGCGCACTGACCCGCTACTTAACAAGCCCTTTTATCCCAATGGTCTAGTGGTTGGGATTCTGACATCACGGACTTTTCCACACTGGCGTGGGTGTGGAGGGTCCTTCCCCTCTTGGTGCCTTTCGAATCTTACGTTACTCGCCCTAACAGTCAACTTCCTTCAAACCGTGATGCTGAAGAGGGGGTGAAGAAGTGGGGAAGTTCCTAAGGAAGCTGCCAAGGAAGCTGCTAATGACTGTCAAGGAAGCTGCTAAGGAAGTTACTAAGGAAGCCGCTAAGGGGTGCTCAGGAAGCTGCTAAGGAAGCTGCCAATGGCTGTTAAGGAACCTACTCAGGAAGCCGCTAAGGGCTGCTAAGGAAGCTGCTAACGGCCGTTAAGGAAGCTGCTCACGGCTGCTAAAGAAGCTGCTAAGGAAGCCGCTAAGGGGTGCTCAGAAGCTTGCTACGGAAGCTGCCAATGGCTGTTAAGGAAGCTACTGAGGAAGCCGTAAGGGCTGTTAAGAAAGCTGCTAACGGCCGTTAAGGAAGTTGCTAACGGCCGTTAAGGAAGCTGCTCACGGCTGCTAACGAAGCTGTTAAGGAAGCTGCTAGAGAAGAGAAGGAGCAGAGAAAAGGGGAAGAAGAGAAGGAGCAGAGAAGGGGGAAGAAAAGGAGCAGAGAAGGCGGTGAGAAGAGAAGGAGCAGAGAAGGGGGAAATATTTGAAGGAGCAGAGAAGGGGGGAATAATTGAAGGAGCAGAGAAGGGGGGAATAATTGAAGGAGCAGAGTAGGGGGGAAGAAGAGGAGCAGAGAAGGGGGAAGAAAAGGAGCAGAGAAGGGGGGAAGAAGAGAAGGAGCAGAGAAGGGGGAAGAAGAGGAGCAGAGAAGGGGGTAAGAAGAGAAGGAGCAGAGAAGGGGGTATGAAGGGAAGGAGCAGAGAAGGGGGTATGAAGAGGAGCAGAGAAGGGGGTATGAAGAGAAGGAGCAGTGAAGGGGGTATGAAGAGAAGGAGCAGTGAAGGGGGTATGAAGAGAAGGAGCAGTGAAGGGGGTATGAAGAGAAGGAGCAGTGAAGGGGGTATGAAGAGAAGGAGCAGTGAAGGGGGTATGAAGAGAAGGAGCAGTGAAGGGGGTATGAAGAGAAGGAGCAGTGAAGGGGGTATGAAGAGAAGGAGCAGTGAAGGGGGTATGAAGAGAAGGAGCAGTGAAGGGGGTATGAAGAGAAGGAGCAGTGAAGGGGGTATGAAGAGAAGGAGCAGTGAAGGGGGTATGAAGAGAAGGGATGATGAGACAAAGAAGGTGCTGGCCGCTTTGTGAGGATTGTAGATGATGCAGATGATGCACTGCCAAGTGGAGGCATTCTCATCCTGTTCATTGCAGGGTACATCTGTTGTAAATGATGATGTGCCATGTACCGGTAGTTTACATTAGTAGCTTGTTGAATACATTGATCAGTTCTGTTTATTCTGTGTAGATGCAATCCTTTGACTGATCATCATTTAAGATTTCAACCCATACCATAGTACCTTGGTATGCTAAGGATACAATTCTGCACAGTGCAGTAGGGCAGATGGGTAACAAGAGTGGAGTCTATCGAAAGTATAAGATAGCATTGTTGTTGCTGTGGGTATTGTTGGGAACATGTAGACTCACAATTTATCCTGACAAATGCATTGCTGCTGCGGGAATTGTTTGGAGCTATTAAACTTGTTGGACCGTCACGTTTGTGGGAGCAGATTAACGCGCATGCTGCTTACGCTCTGCTCCTTGACACAAGCCATGCTCTGCTCCTTGACACAAGCCATCGCCACCCAACCGGCACCCACCAAGCAACACACTGGTCAGGACCGCCACTACGTCCACCAAGCAACACACCGCTCAGGAATGGTACTACTCCACACGCACATCATCCCAACATGCTGCTCTCCCTTGCTGCACATGTGCCATGCCTCTCAGCTTCCTGAGCAGCCCCCTCACCTCATGATCCGCCCTCACTCCCTTCACCCTCATCTCCTCTTCAACCCCCCTCGCCGCCTCCTCCCACCTCCCCCCACTGCTACCCTCCCCATCTCCCCCTTCCCCCTTCCCTGCAACCACCTCTGCTTGTCGCAGCATGGCCCCTATGAGCATCTTGTACCAGGCCACCTCACAGCGGCCCCACATGGCCTCGCCTGCGTGAATCGCCTGCCTCACGCCCTCCACGTGCCCCTCTGCTTTGAGTGCCTCCATCAGCCCCCGCAGCACGCGCCGCTTGATGGTGGCCGGGGGCGAGGACAGCTGTGAGCCGTGGGGGCGAGGGGAATGATGAGAGGAGAGGGTGTAATCTAGAGTTGCAGGAGGAGAGCTGTGGTGCTGCACGGACCCAGGCAGGGATGCACGATGAGGAGTGTTTGGTGGGTTGGCGGTGACAGGGGGATCAACGGGTACAGGAGTCTCAGGAGTGGTGACCAGTTGAGAGAGGAGGGCGGTGGCATGGGAGAGGCGGTGCGAGCGAGAGAGGCAGGAGAGGAGGAGGGAGAGAGTGGCCGTGCCGCACGGAACGCTCGCCCTGCGCATGTCATCGACCAATCGCAGCGCAGCATCTGGCATGTTTGCTCGCGTGTACCCCTTGAGAAGCGCGTTACAGGCATCCCGGTCAAGGCGACGGGTGCAGGCATGCAGGTGAGCAAACGCTTCCTCTGCCATGGGTATGTCACCAGCCGCCACATGCGCTGCTATGCGCGCCACATGCATGGGCCGAGTCACCCTCACCCCCATCCCACCCACCCTCCCCCACATCCCCTCCACCTCCCCTCCACGTCCCCCCTTCCCCGCCCGTCCCATCGCCATCCACAGCGCAGCACACGCAGCAGGGGACGGTGCTAAACCATCCCCCAGCATGGCATGGAAAGATTTTTCTGCCCGGGCAAGCTGCCCGGTGTGAATGAAGAGGCGGAGCAGGATGGAGTGGGTTTGCGCGGAGGGCAGCAGGCGGTGGTGGTGATGCATGGCGTGCAGGAGGGCGTTGAGACGGCCAGGAGAGGACGTGGGTGCGTGAGGGGGGTGGTGCAGGCAGTGGCGCAGGAGGATGTGGAAGGAGAAGAGGGACGGGGCGATGCCCTGCAGGCACAGGCATGTGCATGGGGTAGGGAAGCGGGAGTGGAAGGAGGTGAGATGGAGAACAAGGGTCCACACATAGAGAAGCCACATGTGAGATGAGAAAGGCTGCAGATAGCAAGAAACCATAACTCACGTCCGCATCATTGACCAGGGTTGACCAGCTTTGACCCAGCCCCTCATCACATGCTCTCCACTCCCATCTTCAATCACCCTCATGCCCTTTCCTGTCATATACCCCCATCCTCGCTCACATTCCCCCTCCGCCCCCTCCACTCACCTTCACCCTCATCTCTTCCATGACCTCGTCCATCCTCTGTGTCACTGAATCAGCAGAGGCTAGACGCGACGGCAGGGAGGAGAGGGCGAGCAGGCGCGCGTTGAAGGAGCTCACACCCAGCGCCGCCCCTGCTGTCTCATGCAGCCACTGCAGCTCCTCCTGCACCTTGCTGTGCTGGCCCGTGCGCGCCAATTGGTACAACACTCCACTGTATGCCTGACGAGGACAGAGAAGAGGGAGAGGGAAAGCATGAACAAAGAAGGGGAAAAGAGCAAAGTATGACGGTGCAATGCGCATGATCAGAATGGCATGTCATGAAAAGAGCGAACACGCACAACAGCAGCAGCACGGTGCGGGTATGCCGGGCATGCGGAGCACCTTGTGAGAGCGGGCGTGGCATGGCAGGGAGAGGAAGGCGTCTCTGGCGTCGCTCCATCGCCCGCAGCGAGCCAAGCCATCGATCAGCTCACACACCTCCCACTCCGGGTCCTCCCTCTCCATGTCCGAGCCCCTTGATTGGCTCTCCCGTTCATGCTGACGTGGACTATGTGGTGCGCAGTGTGGGGGGAGGCGGGCCATGTGCCATTGCAGCAGCTGATGGGGGAAGAGGGGTGGGAGTGGGGGGGAGAGGAGAACGAGGGAAGCGGGGAGAGTGAGGAAGGGATTTACAAGAATGAGCGACAGAAGCGATACGTGAGGTGATGACTAACCGCGTAGTGGTGCCATGCCATGCCATGGCACCACTACGTTGATGACATCACCTCGAGAGCATTTGATGACTAACCGCGTAGTGGTGCCATGCCATGCAACCAGCATGCTCTCGAGGTGATGTCGCCCATGCCATGCTCATGGAGAGTGAACGCGTCAATGAATCTGATGCATGGTGCGTAGGTGCATGTAGGCATGGTTGCATGCATGCATGCTGGCATCACCTCAAGAACACGGTGGTGCCGGTGCCTCTCCTTTAGCCGCCGCACCAGCAGCATCACGAGTCGCCGGCCCAACACTGCCCTGCTAGTGCCGTTGATGCGACTGCTGCTGCTGTAACTCGCATGGCGGCTGACTCAATCAGTGCATATGGTGCATGGCAGATGGGTGAATGGGTGCGTGCATGCATGCTAGCATCACCTCAAGAGCTTGCTGGTGCCGGTGCCTCTCCTTTAGCCGCCGCACCAGCAGCATCACGAGTCGCCGGTCCAAGACTGCACCACCAGTGCCGTTGATGCTACTGCTGCTGCTGCTGCAATCTCTCCCGTGGCTTGCTTGCACAGCAATGGTGCGAGAGGTGGGATGGGAGGGAGCTGTGGGAGAGAAGCGGTCCGGTGGGGGGCGCCAGGAGAGGAGGCGAGGCATGAGAGGAAGAGAGGGAGGATGGTGGCGGATAAATGACCACAAACGCTCCAAAAGCTCTGCTTCCGCCCTGCTCACTCTCCCTCTACCAGAGCTGCTGCTTTCCTGCTCTATCTCTTCATCACGCTCCCAGTCACCGCTGCTACAGTCACTGTCACTGTCACTGTCACTGGCATCATCACCATTGCCAGCACAGTGACCATCGCTTTCCCGCATCTGCTCTGTTGATCGTGCAAGTGCCAGTTCAGCACCAAGCCCCGGCTCCCGTCCTCCCGGCCCCTGCTGCAGAGCCAGTGTCGCATCAGGCACTGCTTCTGTCCTGCTTGCACCCCCTATTACTCTCCCTTCATCCCCCGCACGTCCATCTCCTGGGAACTTCCGTGGCTGTGGAGCCTCCACGAGCTTGTTGTGCGCGTGATGTGAGTGGAAACGGACAAGGCTGGGCGAAGCAAGGGTGGGCGCGTGAGGCAGCGGAAGGGTTGCTGCTGGTGATGATGTTGAGGGCGCTAAATGCAGAGCAGACTGTGGGAGGCGAAGTGAGTGTTTATGGGACGGGAAGAGGAAGCTGTGCGGTAGAAATGGTGGCTTATTGGGAGCAGGAAGGAGAGGGTAGGAGGCAAGGAAGAGGACGGGGTGAGTGAGGGAGCAGGGGGCGGAGAGAGTGGGAGGGCAGGAGGTGGGCAACGAGTAACTGCTGTGAAGGGAATCAGACCCATCAGGGGAATCGTCATCGTCTGATGCGGGCGAGGCGCGAGAAGACGCACTGCAGCCTGGCATGGGGGAGGCGGAGGCGCGTCTGAATGCGCCACTTCCCCCACCATTTCTGCCGTGGGTGTACCAGTGCGGAAACATCTCTTCCCACGCGCACGACAGCCATATGCTGCAGATAAAAGAAGGGTCAACACAAAGGTAAGATTAGCAGGAATGGTGGGAGGAGGGAGTAGGAACCAGGTCTAGAAGTAACTGGCCTAATGGGGACACAAACGCGTCGATTGATTTCAGTAAAACTGCAATCACTTCAATCCACGCAGCTTCAACAATTGTAGCTGCAGGTCGTTGCCAATGACTTCACAAGGATTCATGAAAAGTCCGATAACACGAAGCTGCTCCACAAGCACCCTAAGAAACTTTTAAACAGCGTCACATGGCTTCAAGATTAATCATGACAGCCGGATTTACTCACATGCCTCAAATAACGCAGGTATTGTCCGAAAGCTCCAAATCTTTTAACCCGACAACCAAGTTACATCGAATAAAGCATTATAAAAGGAAGTGGAAGGTGGTCGAACGCGCACCTTCTCAGTTGTTGCCAGTGAGCGGGCCACGCGTGACACAGCACTCGCCATCGCACCACCGCCGCCGCCGCTGCAGCACCTGTCGCCACGGCAGAGACTGGTGAGACTCCCGCTGACGGACGAGAGGGCGACGAGCCGTCATAAGAGTCGCTCACGCGTGATGCATCTGGAGAACGTGCGATGGTACATGAACCTAATGGCTGGAAATCCGTGTCCCCAAGCTCTTGGAAGCACCTATCACTAGCGTGATCACATTGTGCGGCGAGACTCCGATCGCGTAAAGTGACTTTCGGATCGCTGAATAACCGATCGATACTAGAAGGGCCGCCATGGAAGAAAGTATTCTGATGGAATTCTGTCATCATGGCAATGGTGTGAGAACTTAGCAATGAGGTGAGCGATTGTGACCCGTTTCACCTCGTGCAGCATAACCTTGCTGGTCGCACGACCTCGCTAAAAGCTGGTCTCGTTGACAAAGCAACGCTGCGATTGCGCACAAGGCCTACTCCATAAGTTCACGGAAAATTGAATCGGTGCACTGTTTCAGGAATTCTTATACCACCAACATGAAGATAAGAACGTGCAATCCCACTACTTACAGGCACAAAACTAACAAAATTAACGCAATCACATGAAACTAGAGACTGCAACAGGCGTGACTGAAGCAGGTGTATATAAATTGTACCCTTTTAATATCTTGGCTTGCTTCTCCTTTCCCTGCACATCATTGTTGAATACACACATTTCACACGGTATTTGTGAGATCAGACAGCAACACAAAATGGAGTCAATCAAAGGCGAGGCGTTGTCAGCCTATCATCCCAATCAGCTCACTCTTTTTCCAACCCCTCAACCCACCCCCGTCTCTCCTCCCCTCCCTCCCCCCCCTTTCCTCCCCCTACCCCCTCTCTCACCCCACAGCACTGACCTTCTGCCACCGTGCTTCCCCCGTGGCCCCGTGGTGAAGGCCCAGTTGACAGCAATGGGCTGGGTGAGCAGCTCTGCGCCGTTGAGGCTCTCAATGGCCGCTGCTGCCTCCTGCCTGCTCTCGTACTCCACCAGAGCGTAGCCCTGGGGGTGGCGAGGGTTGAGAGGGCGAGTGAGAGTGGAGGGAGGGGAGAAGATGGAAGTTGGAAAAGAGTCAGAGCAGAGAGAGGGTTCTCAATGGCCGCTGCTGCCTCCTGCCTGCTCTCGTACTCCACCAGTGCATAGCCCTGGCGGTAGGGGGTGTTGGGACGGGGAATGGGGGGTTGGAACGAGGAGGGAAGAGGGATGACGGTAGGGAGAGAGGAAGAGACTGCGGTGGAAAGCAAGGGAAGGGATGAAGAAAGGAAGCGACAGAGAGGGAGGGAAAGAGCACACGAGCAAGTGAGCCAAGAAAAGAAAGGGCGGGGCAAGAGGGGAGGGGGGAGGGCCGAGGGAGAGGAGGGGGGGAAAACGAATTGCCTCAACTGCAAAATAAGTAGAATAGAAAAACGCGTTGATGGGTCAGAGAGAGGGATGAATGCGACAAGAACCTGAACAAGCTTTGTGCGGGGCTCACCTTAACAAACCCTGTGCGTCGATCGAGGTTGAGGTGGAGGTTCTTGATCTCTCCAAACTCGGCGAACATCTCATGCACGTCATCCTCCTGTGCCTCCTCGTGCACCCCCGTTACAAGCACAATCCACCCCTCCACAGCTGCACACAAACAATGCAAGGGAACAGGGGACAATGAATTTCAGGAACAACCCACACGCTGCTACGAGCTACCTTGCGTTTTGATTCCCGTGCAGCCTGGTATCACGGCTGCACTACTCGTCTGTATTCTCTCCACCATACGCACACTTAAGTCAACCCGTCCCTCCCTCTCCCCTCCCCCTCCCCATCTTCCTCCCCATCCCACTCCCTACCCTTTCACCCTTCCTCCCTTCCACTCTTCCTCCCTTTCCCCATTCCCTCCACCCTTCCCCTCCCCCCGCCACCCGCAAGACGCACATCGCTGGGGCCCGGGTCCGCCGGACGCGTCGAGCGATTCGAACGCGCGGCCCCCCACGCGGTCGCCGCCGTCGCGCTCCACGTCCATGGCCTCGCGGAACCCGCGCCCCTTCGTCCGCCGCGCCTCCGCCGCCGCTGCTGATGCCGCTGCTGCCGCGGCCGCTGTCCCACCAGCAATCGTGGATCTGCGATGGTACGGGGAAGGACGCGGGGAGGGGGAAGAGGGGCGACGGGAGGACAGGGGCGACGGGAGGGGAAAGAAGAGGGAAGGGGGTTGGAAGAGGAGGTGATGGACGTGGCATGCTGCTTCCACGGTACGCCCACATGTGTTAAGCGCGGAGGAGGAAGCCGCGAGATGCATTGAACACGGTCAAATGGAGCGGACTGGCGCGGCGCGATGTTTTTGAACCGCTGCCAGTCAACAACACTCCATGTGGCCAGATTGATACGTGGCCAGATAAATCAAAAGAGGAGTGAGGAGAGAAAGTCGATTTCTCGGTTTTGGATGAACCTAAGCTTAGGCGCAGGCGCCGCGGCGACTGGAGCGGCTCCGGCGTCGTCCTCTTCCATGGCGAGCTCGAGATCGTCATCGTCCGCGCCGTAGTCTACCTGGTCCACGTCAGCGTGCGCCATGATGAATATCTGACGTCGGATCCGCGTGTACACCAATGTCAACGCCCGATGAATCGTATTCTGCACGCTAACCTAGGCTCGCGCGAGTAGAGCTGTGTAATTGCGAGTGCAAGAAGCGAGTGATGAAGGCTAAGAAACAGAGATTGCCCTAAATTAGGAGCCTGATAGCACAGTTCGGAATCTGCGCTATAGCGATCCTCGTGAATTGATTAAGTATTTATTTTCGGCTATCTATGAATACTATATGTTGTGGCTACATCTGGCCCACATTGATAAAATTGGTATGCAGCACTGACTAGCTGCTGTTGTTCTCTGTAACTGCCACACTGTAAGTCAGGGCCTCAGCTATCAGGATAATTTATCCTGATTCTCCTGAATTCAGGATAGGTGTCGTGTGCTAGTCCTGGAAAAACAGCATAACAGGAATAATTGTCCTGCAATTTCAGTATAACGGTTATTTTGCGTACTGAAAACTCAGGATAAGGCTGTAGGTTCAGCTCTGATGAGTCAGGATAGTGTCGAATCTCGCTCTGAGGCGAGATGTACTGTAAGAAAAATCTCCTGGGTCTTGGGGCCTAAAATATGAAAGGGGCGAGCACCTCCACATAGGAGCCAGCGGGAATCGAGCAGGAGACCTCTAACGTATCGCATTGTCACTTAACCCGCTACGACACTTCACCTATCGCTAGTAGTAGCACAAAGAATATATGGATACTACTAAATGTAGCACTGGCATTTCAGGATACCTCACCCTGTGCAGCCCTGCCAATTCAGGGCAAATTCTGATTTCCTAAAAACTGCCCTGAGGCCTCAGTGTACCCCCAAACGAATCTGAGGCCCTGCTGTAAGTCATACTCCGTGAATATTTTTTCAGAAGGACAGACCTACCAAATAAAAAAGTGGTCTTATTGCAAGAGATGATTACAGGTTTAAATCAGACCACCCATCTTCAAGCAGTACCATGACCGTTTCAAAACCAAAAAGAACGCCAAAAGAAACTAGAAGGGCTTGAATTGAATGTATTCCCTGCACAAGAAGCCCTTCGCATACAGTATAATCTAAAGATTGCTTCTCTGGGAAAGTGCTTACACAAGCACAACCTCCCTGTTGAACACCCAGCTAAACTTGCCCGTTTTCGGCCCCGCCTTCTTGAGCTTGTCCGCTGATCGCTCAGCCAGCTTGCGAATGCGCGGCGGCAGCTTGCACACATACTCCTGTGCCCTGCGCCCGTCAGCATCGAGCCCCTCAATCTTCTCAACGTTCCATCTGGCAATGAGGTGCTCGATGATGCTCACGTAGTCGTTGGCCGTGTACACGCCCGTGCGCTGCGCCACCATGGTGAACGCGTCAAACAGCTTGTCGTTCTCCCCGTCGTACATCAGGTGCGCAGGCATCACGATCTGCAGGGGAGATCATATGGGGATGGACGGCATTGGGGTGTTGTTATACGAACTACTCGCTGGAAGTGCAGCAGACAGACATACACCAGCACCTAGGAGCCACTTCCACGGTAGCTTCTGGCTTCATTGTACACTCATCTCTGCTCAAAACACCCCCAGCCCCCCCCGTCCCTTCCACCATCAACATCTCAATACCACCCAGGGGCCCTAGGCAATTCCTTTCACCACGTATTCCACTTGATTCCACTCACATGACTCGTGCGATACACACTTGAGAGGTGTGTCTTCATCACATGAGCTCACAGAACCTAATCTTATTGACATATCTACACGCTAGTATCCCCATATCCGACCCATGTCCCTATCCCCGGTCAACCCAGCATCATACAACACCCCGTCCCCAATCTTCTACCACCCCACCCCACGCCGCCCAGATCCCAATCACCTGACCCCGCACCGCACAGATCCCAGTATCCCCTGCTGACCCCACCCCACCCAACTCGTAACTCTTTGGCCCCGCCCCGCCCAGATCCTAGCCCACCCCTCCCACATCCTCCCCACCAGGCCGACGACGCGAGGCGCACCTGTTTCTTCATCATGTCTTCGAAGGCGAGCATGGCGCCGTTGGGGTCGAGCTCGTACAGCTTGCCCACGATCGCCTGGTACGCGCGCTCGTGCCGCTTCTCGTCCGCCGCGATCAGCCCGCAGATGCGCCCCAGGTTCTTCTCCCCCTTGAACACCGCGTGCCGCGCCGTGTTGCCGTGCGAAATGGCCGTCGCGCGCTCCTGGAACGACGTGTAGAGGAAGCCCAGGTACGGGTTGTTCTCCGTCTTGGGGTCCTGTGGGTGGCGAGCATGGGAGAAGAAAGGAAGACGTGGGGGATGGTACGGTTAGTAAAGATGCTGAATGCAACGACACCTTGGATAACAAGGGCAAATTAACTTCCCAGCATGTGCGATGGTAACACGTGCGATGACCTAGGAGCTGTCAGGAACTGCGAGCGAACGCACCATGCCGGATCCAATGAGGTACTGGATCGTCTTCTCCACGGCACGCATGTTGACGCGGCCCGTGAGGTAGAGGTAGCGGTTGAGCAGATCGCCGTGGCGATTCTCCTCCGCCGTCCACTGCCGCGTCCAAATGCCCCACGGGGTCGGGCTCGCGCCCGTCTCGTCGCGCGTGCCGTCCAGCGTGTTGAGCATCGTCTGGTACGTCGGTAACGCCTCCTCCGTGATCATGTCGCCGACGAGCGAGACGAAATACTCGTCGGGTAACTCCTTCGCCCGCTCGCGCAGCTCCTTGACTTCGTCAAGAAAGCCCTCTTTCTCAGGTGACGGGAGGAAGTCAGACGGCTGCCACGACGACTCCACGGGCTTGAGCATCGGAAGGAGAGTTTCCTCGGCCCAGCCCTCGAGCGACTGTACAAGCTCGAGTCTCTCGGGGCTGATGGTGTGCGCCCTCTGATTGGTTACCATCTTGTGCTTCTTCGCATCGGTCGACGCGGACGGGCTGGGGGAGGAAGGCAACAGTGTGGGGAAGGAGATGGTACGGCGGATGAGGAAAATGCAATTCACATATCTACAAGAAGCAGAGACTAGCGCACGAATTCTCGTTTTTCCTCGTATCAGTCTGGGTGCGTATTTCCTGTATCTCCTACTCTACTACTAGTAATATCGTGAAGTGCAACGATGGGACTCACCGAGCTACACTAGCGGTCATGGCTACCTTGCACCCATTCTGCACCCCCTGCACTCTCGCGCCGCGGATAGACTGGCACGACCCCAAGCGGGCCGCGGCATTGGCGCTGGCGACGTTAAGAGACGCCATCTCTGCAGCTAGCGAGCCAGCCATATAATAGGATCAAGCAGGTTGATCACAGACACAAGCAAAGCAAGTACTGAATGCTCACTAACTGCGGTGAGGGAACCGCAAGTGATCAAAAGATAAGGGGGGTTGTGATATTTTCTGACGTCGAGGTTGGGGAGGGGTCTGAAGGTAGGAATGACCATAGGAGGCTTTCTAGCTGCCAGCCTTCCTCTCTGAATTCCTCTTCGCTAGGCGGGGGAAACGGGGTTGTCCTGGAGGCACTGCGCGCTTTCCGCGCTCTGTGCTGGCAAGCGATCGGGTGTCTCCCCCAACCGCAAGCTCCCACGTAGGAGAGAAAACGCATAACAACGCATAACAAAAGAGTGATCGGTCAGCGTTCCCTTGGGCTTTCCGAGACGGTTGATGCGGGAAAGATGCTGCGATCGAAACCGCTAGAAACAAGCGCGAAAATACCCTCAGCCAGCAACTTTCCAGCTCCATTTCTGAAGCCAATCAGAGGACGATCATGAGTCGAGGCCACGCAATGCAATCATCGGGGTGCAGACATTCGGACAGCGCACCAACGTTCGTGTGGACAGCGCACCAACGTTACGACTGGCCTCCTGGCCTCCCGTCCGTTCGTGTGGACAGCGCACCAACGTTACGACTGACGCCGAGCACCGTCATGCTCTCGTTTCCGCTACGATGCGACAAAGCGTTACGATGCAATTCGAGTAATTATTATCTCGACGCACCACTACATTATGAGGACATATACGACTTGTATTATAGATACACGCAACTAGATAATTAGGCTGATTAGAAAGTGACCATTTCCTCATACATGCTATTTTGAAAAAAAGTGTGATTATATTATAAAAAAATCTCCATGCCAGCATATGAGGAACCATGCATCCCTAGTAAAAATATATACACATATATAGACCGCTGGAATGTTGTTTAGTAGCAGTAAATATTGGTGTATGTTCTGCCTTTTCTTCCTTTAACGGGGTGTTATTCCCAACCACAATTGCTCTGTGATGGAAGATTCTGAGGATGTGGGCTGGTTGACTCGATGCGAGACCTGCACCTGAAGACGCATGAGGAGTCGGTCTCACATACGGTACAGCGTTGGAGACACAACGGGAGCGACTTGAGTGCAAGGTCCCACTCAGCCATTCTCACCTGCGCTGCTGCCCACAACACGAAATGCTCACTAGTCAATTGCTTTAGAATAGGCCCTCGGGATTTCTTTTGCCGAACCTGATTCTCCTGCTGGGCCATGATGCCCAGACCTCAGGTTCGCCTGAAGGCCTGCCGCAACCAGTTTTTCCTCCTGCACGCCATGCCTCACAAACATGAAACATTCCGAGTGCGCGAAATGGACGGTGAGGCACTTCTCGGTGAGGTGAGGCACTTTTTGCAAGGAGAATCGAATTGTTGCGAGCTTGAGATTGGTCGCCAAGGGCCTCATCGACTTAGTTGCTGTTGCCCGAACCAAACCCCAGCTTTACCATATCAAGAAGCTGCCCAATCTGCCGCAAAGCTGCCCTTCTGCCACTGCGCAGCGCAACTGGCCCTCAATCGTCCCCCATGCGCCACTGTCACGGTGCGCCCACCAACCCCAAGGCCGCTTTACGCTTTTATTCCGCCAACCAGGCAAGCTGTCTGACCCATGCCTGCCCTCCCGTTCCCCGTCGGACCCCCGCTTGCCGAACCAGCGCAGGTGGTGTGTGAGGTGTGGTATTCTCCCATAATCACATTCGCGTTCCAACCAGTGCTTGTAAAGGCATGGCGGGCGGAAGTCCCCCCGGCTGTCAGTTCCGCCCCGCGTCCATCGTCTCCACCCACCGTCGCCCGCGGATCCCTCCCTCCCCGCCGTCACCTTCCCCAGCGATCTCTGCCCAATCGCACGCCTCTCCCGCACACTGGTCCTCCAGCAGAGAATTCTGCTTGCGCTCTTTTCGACTTTCCGTGCAACGCTTTTGAACTTCTAAACTTGCATCCTAGTCAGCAGCAGCCCCTATCATTCATGAACACATGAATTGGCCACTTAGCTCGCGCGGTTCCCGCTTATTTTCCAGCCAATTTAGAGTTCTCGTCGATCTTTCCGTCGTAGTCCTATTTTCGCATGTGTCCGGAGCTTCTAGGGGATATCGTAGGAGCAGAGGTGGGGGAAAGCCAGCGCGCCAGCTTGTGGGCCTCGCAGACCGCCGACCGCCAACGCGCGCCTTGTGCGGCCATGAGCGCGGCAGCTAGAGCCAACTCAACCGTCGCCTCGCACACGTCACACGGCTCCATATTCCCGCGGCCCTTCCACCTCCCGCAACCCCCGCTGATCGCGCCGCCGCATATCTCGGCGCAGCACTTCCTCTACCTCCAGCAGCAGCAGCGCCGCCTGCAGCTCGTGCAATCCCTACCCATCCCACAACCCCTCCTCCACCAATCCTCCGTTTCTGCCGGCTCCGCTGCCGCCGCCGTTCCTCCCGCGGTCTCCGAAGCGCGGCTGCCGGCGCCGGCGTACGACTATGCGACGCACGGCGCGGTGATGACGCCGGAGCAGGTGGAGTCGCTGCGGCGGCAGATCTCGGTGTACAGCACCATCTGCCAGCAGCTCGTCGCCATGCACCAGGCGCTCACCGCGCAGCACGCGCACTTCACCGGTCAGTCCAGGCGCACGCGCATCAGCCCGCGCCGCTCACTGTTCACCGCCGTGTCCCGTTTCGTTGCACCGACTCAAACCACTCTGTACCGTGTTATGAGTGCTTGTCACCTCCCGTTTTGCGTGTTTCAGTCGTTCATCGTCACGTTATGCAATTTGCAATCGCAAAGGACATAGTCCATCCTATCACAATTCAGTTCGAGCCAGCAAGAAGGTTTTGTTTTGAAGTCACCTTACGTCACAATAAGGTGGTCGCTCGTGTGTTGACAAATTTGTTCTGGTTGACTACGTGGTTTGGAACACGCGGTTTTATCGGTTATCAGCTGCCTTAAAATGGCCGTCTGTATGCTTGTCAAGAGCTGGCGTGTAACCGTTATTTTGTGGTTAACGGTTATCAAAGCACGTCAATTTTCTTTGCAAGCGCTGACATTCATGCTGTCGCGAGTGCTCTAGTTAGTCCCCACGCTTATCATCTTACCTCGCTGTACCCATGTGTGCGTGTGTTTGTGTGTTTGTACATTCATGCTGACTTTCCATGTGCTTCGTATAGGCCGTACGCCTTTTAGTCGGTTCATGATCCTGTTTACGCTTCTAAGGCGTATGCGGTGCTAATCCGTGTACGCTCCGATCGAAACGCGCGCTCAGTTCACTCCCTCTTAAGCCTTGGATTTTCTCCTAACTCGCTTCTTCCCTCCTTCTGACAACCCTGTACTTAATATCTTCTCCCGTCTGCGTGTCAGCAGCAGCGGCGGCAGCGGGGGTGCTGGGGCACCTCCCCTTCCCCTACGACCACTACGGCGTCGGTTCCGCCGCCATCGCCGCGCACCCCAAGACGCGTCAGCGCTGGACGCCGCAACCCGCGCAGCTGCAGATTCTCGAAAAGTACTTTTCGCTCTCCACGGGCACGCCGAATAAGGCGCGCATTCGGGAGATCACGGCGGAGCTGCAGCAGCACGGTCCGATCTCCGAGACGAACGTTTACAACTGGTTTCAGAACCGCAAAGCGCGGGCGAAGCGGAAAAACTCGAATCTCGCGAATGGGGGGAGCGGCGGAGGGGAGAAGGAGGTGGTGGGGGGGGAAGCCGCGGGGGCTGTTGTTGCGCATGGGGCGGGGGGGAAGGGGAGCGCGGGGGCGGGTTGGGGGAGCCAGGGGGAGAAGCGGCACAAGGGTGACTCTTCGGAGAGAATAAAGGATGTGATTGGAGAGGGGGATATGGGTCTGGTGCGCAGCGGTAGTGTGGCGAGTTCAGGCGGGGGTGACGTCAGCAGGGATCCCGACGGGAGGGCAGGGCACGAGGCGGGCGAGGGCAGCCCCGGGGGAGTCAGCGCCGCGGGTGGGAGCGGTGGCGGGACGGGAGGGACTTTCACTAGCGCCGGGGAAGGCGGGGGGAACCACACCGCGGAGGGGCAGGAGCGGGGCGTAGGGTCAGGAGGGGAAGGCGCGGTGGGCATGGGTGAGGCAGCGGCGGGCGCGGGTGGCGCTGCCGGGGGAACGTTGATGGACCGTCAGCATGTGGCAGACGCTGTGGGGGGAGGCGCCATGGCCGTCAGCGACGTTGCAATCGCAGCAGCGCCTCTAGCGGAAGGGAGCTTGCCACAGTACGGTGGAGAGGGGTGCGGAGCGGTAGGGTATGAGTCCGTTCAGATGGAAACAGGCTTGTTGGGGGACGCGGTGACAGCCATGCGGACTAGCGCTGCTGCCGCCGCCGCCGCCGCTGCTGCCGCTGCTGCAACAGTTGCCGATGGTGGTCTAGGGTCGGGTGCTGGTGACAATGGTGTGGGCATGGAAGTGGGCGACAGTGCGAACCAGGGCGGGTGGCAGGCCGCAGGGGAGGGTGCGCTGCAGCAGGTGGGCGGGCACGTCCCCAGGCAGCAGCAGCAGCGCCATGATGCGCCTGGAGAGGCGGCTTCCGCAGCCCACGTGGATGCACACGTGCGCATGGACGGGTGTGGGCCAATGAACGTGCAACATGGGGATGGCGCACATCTGGGCGGCAGCGGGGGGATGACTGGCGCGCATGCGCACATGGAGGGGGAGGCACAGAGCCACATGCGCGCGCACAGCAGCGAGCACGTGCGCGCGTGGGGCGCGCATGGCGCAGCAGAGGGGGGTGAGTTGCAGGGCCATGGCCTGGGCGGGCACGGAATGGCGGAAGCTCAGGGGGGCTTCGTGGAAAGCTGCGTGGAAGGGCGGAGTGCGGAGCAGGAAGGGGTGTCCAGAATAGCAGGCGATCACGGGCAGCCAGCGAGCCTGGCAGCTTCGCCAGCACCTGAAAATACACCTGGGGACGCACCTGGGCAGGACGACATTAACGGGGGGGGGCACGCGTTGGTGCAGGAGTCGCTAAGACCACAGGGCGACGCGAGCGTAGGCTTACAGCAT